ATAAATATCAAGCATACGCAATGTTATAAAATAAGAGAAGAAGAATAGAAATATTGCAATAGTTTCTGGCAAATTAATGTGATTTTCTTCAAATTCCATTTAATGAAAATTGTTAAAATTGAAAATTCTGCCATTTCTTATAAGAAAACTAATATTAGGTATTTGTTCTGTGATTTAATGAGGAAGAGAACGACATATTCTCATTATTACATTCTGTCTAATTAATTGTTTTTTTTTTTCTGTCATAAAATATCGTTCCTTTCTGAAAGTCGAGCCCGAAATTGAATGCAAAACAAAATATTGTCTGGCCCCTTAACGATAATAGAATAGATTCTTTCAAATGATGCAAATTGCATTTTTCAAGCTGAATTTCATCTTAATTATTTAAAATTATTACGAACTTTAACGAACTTTCTCAGTTCTCTGTTGTGAGAAAACAAAATATAACGCATTCGCGCCGTGACTAAATGTGTAAGAAAAACCAAATACAAAAAAAAAGAGGAGATAATAATATACCTCAGGGAAATAAGTAAATATATGTGCATCTGTATTTTTTCTCTCTCATTTCTCTCATTTCAATAATATCACTTCCACTTCTCTTAAAGTATACCAGATTTTGTTGTCTTTGTTGCCAAAGTCTTCGTTAATGATTTTCGTGTGGAATTTCGAATGTGAGCAAGAGAAGTTTAGCGTCGGGTAGATATAATTGAATATAAAAAATATTGTTAAGAGCAGGATATAGGTTCGGACAATTGAATTTGTTATTATTCATTTGCCACGTGGAATGCATTTGTCGGAAGTGGAGCGAGCTTTGATACACACCACAATTGCAGAAATAGCTAAAAGAGTAAATCGACATTGAAATGCGATTATCAACTTTCTCAAAAATGTCGACAATTAGCGCTGCGGCAAATTTCACGACTTGCGGCTCAAAAGGGCATGTCTCGTATGGAGATTAGATCTTGACATATCTGGAAGACGAGTCCATCAAGTTTTGGTGGAAAACAAAAACGTTTCATATGCGCCCGTTTCGGCATTTGCTTACAAATTCTAAATTCTAAATTCTGGACCCATGAATTCCATAATGTAATTCAATTCAATTTGGATGGTCCACACGGTTGCCATAAGTATTGGCGCGATTTAAGACAACCGCGGCAGACTCAACATAAGCGGCATCATTTGCTGGAAAGTCATCGATTTGCTTCATACCGACAAGAACAAATTGCGGACTTATATGTATATGTAGAACTCTCGGAGAATGACTGGAGAGACTAGAGACTTTCTATCGGAAAGAGATCAGCCCGCATCTAGACCCAATAGGAGACCTATCAAGTTTACAGGAGTGGTCGACAGTCTGATACCATAAAGCAACTAAGAGAAGCTTTACTGAAGGAGTCGGATCCAATAGATCCTTCAACCTTGCGAAAATCTTATCAGCTCAATGCCTACAGGACTAAATACGGTCCTATTTTCAAAGGGCAGGCATTTAAACTATTCAAGAAAAATAAGAAAATAAAAGGGGGATTAGTTTTCTTTCAAATTAAATAAGATTAAGAAACCGTACTATGCACATATACTTATTCCCTAAGAAGCCATATTACTTGATTTATTTGTTTTTATTTTTTGCCTAAGTTCTTATAAGAAAATAAATATTACGTATACGCGCCGTGTTTTAATGTGCGCGAATGACAAACGAATAATGTAATAAATTCTGGCAAATTAAATTGATAAAATGTTTTGCCTTTTCAAAAAGAAAAATAAAATAAAATATTACGTATACGCGCCGTGACTTAATGTGGAAAGAACAAAAAAAACACATTTGCTGGCATCGATTAGCAATAGATTCGATTATTTTCAAATAAATGTAACAGTTTTCCAAGTCGAACATTTCATTCAATTCCAGTCAGTTTTAGACCTAAAGTTCAAAGCGGATTCGGATTCGGATTCGGATTCGGTTTGACAACTGACATTCTCATCTTCACAAACTCGCCTTCGAACATAAATTCTTGACAATTTGGCCGAAACTGGGCTGTTTCTGATGTTTTGTGCACATTTTGGACGTGATTTGAACTTCTAGCAGATTCTGCTTTTGAAAATTATTGCATTTTTGAAGAAGTTTTCACAACTTTTTCTTACTTTTTCTTCCTTTTCCATTGCCTCATGTAATTGTTTTAAGCAAAAAAAAAAAACGATTTTGAGATCTTTTTCTTTTCTTTGATTTCTGCTAGCTAAGTTCGCATTTAAAGCGATTTTCGCTGCTATAAAATATAACGTATACGCCACGTTATGCAGCTTTGACGATGAACACTTTCTTTGAAGATGGAAAAAACCTTTTCGGTTTCTCTGAATTGGCTGGCATTATTAAAATTTGTTTCTGACTGACATTTGGCATTCATTTGAGCTCGCAAAGCTCTCGAAAACCAAAACATCACCCACAAATTCAAAGTTCTCACAACATTTTCTCGAAAAAAACTCTTTGATTTTTATACCCATTGAAAATGGGTAAAAAGGGTATTATGTATTTGTATAAAGTATATATAATCTTGATCAGCATCAACAGCCGAGTCGATGTCCGTCCGTCCGTCTGTCCGTCCGTCCGTATGTATGAACGCAAGGATCTCGAAACCTATAAGAGCTAGAGACTTGAAATTTTGGCTGTAGGTCCTCCTAGTGCCCGCGCAGTTCGAGTTTGTTTCCGATATTCGATAACTTGCCCCGATTCCAAGTAATCGATAAATAATAATATGATAAATAATAATATAGAGTCACCAAACTTGACATGCAGCTTCTAGAATAGTATTTATATATATCAAGTATCTTTCATTTTATAGCTATCGCCTGTTGGAAGAAGAGGATTAATGGGTATCCCCTAGTCGGGAACTCCCGACTAGAACCCTCTTACTTGTTCTGCTTAGTCACGGTGTGCTCCTTCATAAGATAACAAATTTCCCATTACGGGGTGAAGTCACGCTGATTTTTCAGCTTCTCAACAATTTTGTCGCACTTTCAACTTTTTTTGGAATTCTTGGAAAATTCTTGGAAAATATCTTTAGAAAAGTACGACGGATACGTAATATTTTCCTGTAGTTTTCATGAGAAATATTTTCCTGCATTTAATTCGTCCAAGTCGTGGAAAAAAAGTAAATAAATTAAAGAAAGCAGTCCATAAAATCGATTCTGATTATTTAGTACATTTTATGAAAAATCTTCCAACGAACTCTTCACAAGTTCTCTTGGTAAGAACTGCGCTGATTTTTCAGTTTCTCAATAAATTTCTACTGAATCGAACATTAATTAACTTCTACACTTCGATTTATTTCATAGAAAAAAAAGGCAGCGAACTCTTGGAAATTTCTATAAAGAAAAATATCACGTATACGCACCTTTATTCAATTTAAAACATCAAAATTTAATCTTGAGCTGGAGAATTCTTTGCGGCAATTCGCTTTATTTAAATTGGTAACAAATGCTCCAAAATGTTCAGTCCATTTAATTTTTTGTATCTATCACAAAGATTTCGACATGTAAAGCTGAAAAATGTGCCCAACATTTAAATTTCAGTTTGTTCACAATTTGGTCACGATTTGATCAATAATTTGATTCGTGCCTTTTCAATAATTTAGTTGCATTTTGAGTCAATTTCAAAAATATCGAAATAAAGAAACGTGGCATTAAATCAGCTCCGGATATGATAAACATTCATGTCAAGTTCCGGGCTCGAAAATAACAAAATTTCGCACTTCTGGACTTTTGAATTCCATGCTAAATGCGCTTTCGACTCGCTTCCAATTAACTGAAATCAAATTCTGGCCATTTTTGCCGGCCCTCAGCTTTTATTTGTAGCTGAAAACAAGTTAGTGGCTCTAGTCGGGAGCTCCCGACTAGGGGATACCCTGAACAGGCGATAGCTATAAAATGAAAGATGCTTGATATATATATACTATTCTAGAAGCTACATGTCAAGTTTGGTGACTCTAGCTCATATTATTTTTTATCGATTACTTGGAAACGGGCCAAGTTATCGAATATCGGAAACGAACTCGATCTGCGCGGGCACTAGGAGAACCTACATCCAAAATTTCAAGTCTCCAGCTCTTATAGGTTTCGAGATCCTTGCGTTCATACATACGGACGGACGGACGGACAGACGGACGGACATGGCTAGATCGACTCGGCTGTTGATGCTGGTCAAGAATATATGTATATACTTTATGGGGTCGGAGATGCTTCCTTCTGTCTGTTACATACATTTGCACAAATACATTATACCCTTTTTAGCCATTTTCAATGGGTATAACGGGTATAAAAAAATACATTTTTGAATGATTTTTTATTTGATTTTATTGGAAGTGCGATTCAAACAGATTGAAAGCTGGTCTCTTTTTGTTTTGTGTATGTACATTCTCCTGGCGCAGCGATTGAACTTGTTTCGATAGCATGCCACGCCCTTTGGCTGGGCGGGAGCCCAACTTTGGCTGCAAAGCGCGTCAAATTTTTCAATAATTTTCAAACGATTTGCTTCAATTCTCAATTTAATTCAATTTCGAAATTCAATTTATTATTTTCGACATATTTTTATTTAGCTTTAATTAAATATTTTTTTTTTTTTTAAAAACCCAAAAAGGAAAACATTTTGCCATAATTGAAGAAGACGAAGATAAAAGAAATCAAGCAACATTTTTGAACATCTTTTTGAGAAATTGCTTCAAACTGAGCTGAAAAATTTGGTTTTTGGAAGAGTTTTCGGCTATTGGGACAGAAATAATGAAAGACTTTGGGCTGAAATTCAACTTGGACTCAAATAAATAAGGCCATCCGATTTTGATGAGACTTAAACTTGGACTTGAACCATTTCAGACAATTGAACTGCACAAGGTTTTCATGCCAACTTCTCTTTGGAGCAAAACCCGTTTCGGCACGAAATTTGATTCCGGCTTCTGGGAATTCCGGAGCCCAATTGAAAACTTGTTTTATTGCTGACCCAATTGCTTATCGTGCAGTTACTTTGACTCCGCGTCGCAGCGATCAAGTAGCTGCTTCTGCTGCAGTTCCTCCAGCTCCAACTCCAGATCCTCATCGTCCTCGCTGCACATGAGCTGCGCATAATTGTGCTCAATGGAGGTTTCTGCACAGGCATCGATATCCGCCTCCGTCTCCTCCTCCTCCTCCTCCTCCTCCTCCTCCTCCTCATCGTCCTCCTCATACTCCTCCAGCTCCAGCTCCAGCTCCACCCTATCCTCCTCCCTCTCCTCCTCCTCCAGCTCTAGCTCCACCGTCTCCTCCAGCTCCAGCTTCACCTTCTCCTCCACCCTATCCTCCTCCCTCTCCTCCTTCATCTTTTTATATTTCTCTTCCTCCTCCACGTCCACCTTCTCGTCATCCTCATCCTCCTGCCCACTGTCCGTATCCGACTCGTGCTCGCAGCAGAGAATCTCGTGTGCAAGCAGCGCTATGGACTCATCGCTCGATCCGCCCACATCGCTCTCCACATCGGAGTCGCCACTAAGTGGACTATATTTGTATACCTGCGGCTGTCTACGCTCCCGCTCCCGTTCCCGATCCCGCTCCCGCTGCAGCTGCTGCTTGGCGCAAATATCATTTGGTTTCGCTTTGGACGCAAGTTGTTTGTGGAAGCGAGCTGCGCTGTCTTCGCTTTTGCTGCTCTGCTCGCTGCTGGCTGCTCGCGTCAGCTGGGACGCCGCCTCGAGCGACTCCAGCCTGGCATTGTCCAGCGCCATCTAATCGAATTCCGTATGCGTGTGTGTGTGTGTGCTTGAGTGTGTGCTCGTGTGTGTGCTTGAGTGTGTTTGAGCGCGTGCCGATCTAGTTTAGGAATCTGGTTGCCCTACGATTCCGACAACTATTCCAAATGTTTGCCCGATGTGTCCGATGTGCGTCACGTAGTGTTCCCAGCTACCATTTCCCCTCTGCCCCCTGCCCGTTGCCCCTTGTCCCTTGTCCCTAGGCGAATTAAATTTTATAGCAACTGCATTCGCAGTCGCAGTCGCAGTCGCATTCGCATTGCGGCTTTAAGAGGCGTCACCAGACGTTGGCCAAAACATGGCAATTGGCAGCTAGCACGACCGAAAAGACCACAGGCCAACTACAACTCCAACTCCAACTTCAGCTCCAGCTGCCTCCACCTGACACGCCCCCCAATTCCCGCTCAGCCATGAGCCGAGACGAAGTCTCACACACTTGCACACACACTCGCACACACACTCGCACACTCGCGGTGTAGCGAGCACATTTCTTTAGCTGTGCGAAATGCAACAAATAAAACAAATTTAAGTCCAACACGGCATACGACTGCCAGACGCTCAGATACCCTGGAAGTCAGTGTTTTGACTATTTAATATCATACGCTTCGAGCTGCTAATATTTGCCTTAAACTGTATGCATACACTGTAAATAAGCGAGAGTAGCCGACAAGCAGATACCCTGTACTTTAGGACAAATTCTCAACTGGATTCATGGATTTTGCAGTGCATTAAAATGCATCAAATATTGATTCAGTTAACATTAAAAACTCAGCATGACTCTCAAACTGTAAACGCAGTGGCAATGGCTGCCAAACTGTGGCTGGAGAAAGCTTCGATTCGGATTGGATTTGTGGAATTGGGAATTGTGTTTTAGTTGATTGCAAGCAGCTCATAAGTGGCAGCACTGTGTGTGCACGACTATGGGATACTCTAGCTTTGGCAATTGTTTACTTTTGTTATGCCCTGCCCTGGCCAAAAAATTCCATTCTCTGCTGTTGACTGCGCCCAAGCTAACCGCTTTCTTTTCGTTTGACTTTACAGGGTATAAGCAGGCGCTTGCCGCATCAAGCATTCGACTGCAGCTGCCGCTTATCATTGGGCAACTGCGTCCGTCCACTACTTATCATTCTCATCTGGTCGGCTTTTGACCTCAGGGCGCGTTCCATGCACCCCCCCCCCCCCCCCCCGCTCACTTACCCTCCCTTCAGTGGTCCTGGTGCTGGCTCTGGCTCTGGCTCTGGCTCTGTGCGCTGCACCACAATTTCATTTTTGGCTCTGGCAGCGCCCCGTTTAGCATTTGGCATTTTGGCATTCTTTATGCTCTGTCCCAAGCCTTCCGGTTTTGTGTTCCCCTCCCAACTCCCCACTCCAGTTGCTGACCACCGCCCCCGCCCCCGCCCCTGCCCCATGCAACGCCCTCGACCAGTCGTCGGCCAGTCGTCCATTTGCAGTTGAGTTTTCATTGTGTCGCATAACCTGCCACCCGCAGGACTGCAGGCTGCAAACCAACCACACCCCCGCCCCCTCACACACACACGCACACACACACGCACACACACTGCTTATAATAAGCCACAACCTCTGCCTCTCTCCCACTCCCTCTCTCCTGCTCTCTCTCTTCTCGCTCTAATTACACACCAAATTTACTACAAACGAGCAATAAAAATCATTCAAGCAAAATCTCTGCGCTAACCACGTAACCAGGCAGCATCCCCCCCTCACTTATGCCCCCCACCCCCTGTACCCCTCCACATTTTGTGCTTCACCCTTCTGCCGTTTAAATGCAAATGCTTTTTTCTCACGCACACACAAAAAACATTAAAAACAATGACAATAAATGAAGAACATTAACGCTAAGCGTTTCCCAGCTCTTCCCTTTCTTTTTTGTTTTCCTTTTTTGCATTCCAGTTTCCATTCGAGCTTCAGCCTTTTAATCAACTACCCCAACCACCCACGCAGAGTCCCCCCCCCCCCCCCCCTCACGTCAACCCTCCCTCCTGCCCCGTCAACCGTCAACCGTTGTCATTGTCGTTGTCGCTGTGTCTCTCGCCATTCAATGAAATAACATTTAAACAATTACACAAAGCAAAAAATGTGCTCAAAGGCAAAAAGCGCCACGTTCGCAGCTGCAAAAGCCTCGTGCACTGCGAAAAAAAGGGTGCCGGTTTACAGTTATTGCAGCTGTTTCGCAATTTCATTTTATGATTTAGTTCAAATTGCAAACATTTTTGCTACGTTTCTCGCAGTGTAGATACACTTCCACTTAAGCTGCAGTCCATACCAAATGAATTTGTGTCAAATACTTGCAGTACGCATTGGGCAAGGGGAACGTCAAATCTTTGCAGAGCCGAACACTTAATACCCTTGCGACGTACAGGAGTCATAAAAAAGTGTGGTCCGATCTTGAACTTGAGAGTAAACCGCGACGCGGTAAGGACGCGAATGTCATTGCAGATTGAGTATATATGTATGTATATGTATATATATCTTTCGCTCGTGGAAAACTTAATCAGTCAGTCAATCAGTCAATCAGAAAATGAGTCAGTCAATCAGTCAGTCAGTAAGTTAGTCAGTCAGTCAATCAGTCAGTCAGTCAGTCAATCAGTCAGACTGTCAATCAGTTAATCAATCAGTCAGTAAGTTAGTCAATCAGTCAGTCAGTCAGTCAGTCAGTCAGTCAATCAGTCAGTCAATCAGTCAGTCTGTCAATCAATCAGTCAGTCAGTCCATCAGTCAGTCTGTCAATCAGTTAATCAATCAGTCAGTCAGTCAATCAGTCAGTCAGTCAGTCAGTCTGTCAGTCTGTCAGTCTGTCAGTCAATCAGTCAGTCTGTCAATCAATCAGTCAGTCAATCAGTTAATCAATCAGTCAGTCAGCAAGTTAGTCAATCAGTCAGTCAGTCAATCAGTTAATCAATCAGTCAGTCAGTCAATCAGTCAATCAGTCAGTCAGTCAATCAGTCAGTCAGTCAGTCAGTCTGTCAGTCTGTCAGTCAATCAGTCAGTCAGTCAGTCTGTCAGTCAGTCAGTCTGTCAATCAATCAGTCAGTCAATCAGTTAATCAATCAGTCAGTCAGCAAGTTAGTCAGTCAGTCAGTCAGTCAATCAGTTAATCAATCAGTCAGTCAGTCAGGACAATCAGTTTTATATATAGATTTCTAAGCACGATGGAACTTTCCTTATTAAAATGCTTAAATTGTAAAACATAAAAATGATAAAGCCTGAGGACTCAACCAGGCTTAACGTAATATCACCTAAGCCAACTGTGTTGTAATAAAAATGTAAGCTATTTTTGATTCAATACAATAAATAAACAAAAAAAAAAAAAACACAAACATAATTTCTATCAAAAATGTTGATAAAAGTAAATAAAAATGTATCCAAATAAATAAAATAGAAAGCTTCTCTCTGCTATTTGCCCAACCGATATTAATTGCAATTTGTTTTTTCCTTTTTCTGCTTGAGGCGCAAAAAATAGGTAAAATATAATAAAAATATTGAAATATTTGTTGTTAATGAAAAGCAAATTGCACTTTTCTAGTTTGTCACATTTCAACTTAAGTTACTTTAAGGCTCATTACTTGAATTGAAAGTTAGCTCAATTTTAGGCTGAACGATAAAGGATAAAGGATATAGTGGATATAGGATATATATAGGATGATATAGTGTTCCGATCCGGCCGGTTCCGACAGATGAACTCACTGCAACAGAAAGACCGTCGATGGCCTTAAGACTGAGAGAAACAGACAGACGGAGGGGCGGACAGACAGACTTGGCATACCCCAACTAGGCATACCCTAACTAAGCTGTTGATGTATCTATTCATATAGCTTGATATACCCTAGCACGGCATACCTTACCTAAGCTGTAGCTATATGTGCTCTTATATCATATCCTAACCTGGCATATCAAGACTTGGCATACCCTAACTTAGCTGTACCTATATGTGTTCCTTTAGCATACCCTAACTTAGCTCTAGCTGTATCGGTTCTTATAGCTTGGAATACCCTAACTTAGCTCTAGCTAATTGTGCTCTTATATCATATCCTAATCTGGCATATCAAGACTTGGCATACCCTAACTTAGCTCTAGCTGTACCTGTTCTTATAGCTTGGCATACCTTGTATAACTTGGCATACCCTAACTTGTTATACTCTAACTTGGCATACCCTAACTTGTTATACTCTAACTTGTTATACTCTAACTTGGCATACCCTAACTTGTTATACTCTAACTTGGCATACCCTAACTTGGCATACCCTAACTTAGCTCTAGCTGTATCGGTTCTTATAGCTTGGAATACCCTAACTTAGCTCTAGCTAATTGTGCTCTTATATCATATCCTAACCTGGCATATCAAGACTTGGCATACCCTAACTAAGCTCTAGCTGTATCTGTTCATATAGCTTGGCATACCTTGTATAACTTGGCATACCCTAACTTGGCATACTCTAACTTGGCATACCCTAACTTGTTATACTCTAACTTGTTATACTCTAACTTGGCATACCCTAACTTGTTATACTCTAACTTGGCATACCCTAACTTGGCATACCCTAACTAAGCTGTATCTGTTCTTATAGCATGGCATACCCTAACTTACCTCTAGCTGTATCTGTTCATATAGCTTAGCATACCCTAACTTGTTATACCCTAACTTTGGCATACCCAAAAAGTTATTTCATTTGCTCGCTTCACATTTGGTTTTCATGCGCTGCCGCAAGAACTCGCTAATAAATAAACGAACATTATTATGAAGCCATTTACAGCACATCCCCTCCCCTCCCCCCTCCCCACTACCCGCTTCCACCCCTCTCCCCCACCAAACCACTCTCCCCGCCTCGTGAGGAAACGCCGCACTGAGCTACCCACGTAAAAATGTAAAAATATCATTTTAATGAATTTGTTTAGCCGGGCAAAAGTCAACCTCGACCCTTTACCCCTGCCCGCTGCTGCTGCTGCAGCACGTATAACCCTTGCTCCTCGGAGTATATTATTTGATGTTTTACTGTCTGCCCCTCTTCAGCCCCCCCCCCCCC